ATGGGTGTGTGTGCTTCTTAGAAATTTCTAACTTTATCCTAAAGGAAGTACAGTATAGCTAGCAATGAGTTTATTAGCTGTAAAATATTCTACTGTTGAAACAAGTGATCTTTGTGTGTTTCTATCCCTAATACTAGGAGCCTTTAAGCTCTGTAAATATTGTGTTCTATTTCTAATTTTTAGATCTCACAGTAAGAGATGGTACATTATTCAAACAATATAATTTCCTTTATTTCTCTAATGTTAACCTTATAAAATTACTATGCTATTGTTTCGATTTTTCAGCCCATAAAATACCGATGTATATTTGTTGTTATGTTTATTCTATATTGGCCATGAAACACCAGAAAACTCTTAAAATCAATTTCTAACAACCTTCTCTGAAGAGCACTCAAAAATTAACAACAGCACTTTAAAATTTAGTTGACAAGGGTTCCCACAATAAAACTGATAGCAGCGATTTAAATCCTTGTTATAACTCTGAATTACTTTGTTATTGCAGATGTCTCATTATCTTAGTAAGAAAAACACACACAACAAAAAACACCTGTCTAGCAAATAGAGGATTATAAAAAGAAAAAAAAAAGTCTGAGTCTCTACACCTGAATATTTATAGCATACAAATAAAGAAGCACTTAGGCATTTCCAATTTTCTAACAGCCAAATCAATATATCCATATATCTTGCAGGCATTGGAAATACGGGGTCAAATTCACGTTTTACAGTGCTGCAAATTTACTTCTGCTTACTATGAAGTATATGTTACCAGATACATGCTGGGACAAGTCTAAACCACAGCCAGTCTATCACTGTATTATTTCCTGGTTCCCTAAGGCTTTGTAGCATTGAAGACATCCCCATGATGTCTAGAAATGCAACAGGTGCTTCTGAAGCCAAGTCACATAGCAGGGAAGAGAATATACTGCTATTCACTTTTTTGTTTTTATTGCTTTGCTTCAAATTAAAAAGTAGTATATATAATTTTTCTTTTGCAATAAACATCAGGTATGCTTACAAATATAACTGCTCAGATTATGTTTGCATTTCTAAATGAATCTTTATAACTCTCGATGTGAAGAAGTAACAGCATAAATTAAGGCTTCAAATTTAGTGTCTGGACTCTTACACTGCTATAATAAAGGCAGGAATGAGCATTTGTGAGTTGTTCACAATACAAATCTAATTAATTAATTAATCTATTTCTTTAGTATTGATTGGAATCATAATAAACCAGAGTAGTGATGGGTATCCCAGGCTATTAGAAAATGAAAGGACACAGACAGGCACAGGGAGGGAGGTCATGCAGAGACTCAGGCAGAGATTGACAAGATGCAGCCCCGAGCCAAGGCATGCCAATGGTTGCTGGTAACCCCTGCAGATTAGGAGAGAGCTGGGATGGAGTCTTTTCAGAACTTCCAGAAGAAACAACTCTGCCAACATCTTGATCTTGGACTTCTTGCCTCATAAACTCAGAATAAATTTTGGTTGTCTTAAGCTTCCAAGTTTGTGGTGATACATTATGGCAGTTCTAAGACTAATAAAGGGTCTTTAGCAGTGCAAAGGTTAATACTTGGCTTCTCTCTCTCTTAATGATTTTACCTTCTACAGAGAAAAAGTTCTAAAGTTTATTTAGGGAGTCAGAATCTTCATTTAATAATACTGAGCTGAAGGCATTAAATTCCATTTGCCAAAATAACATGAAGACTACACAATCCACACCAGCAAATGCTATTGCCCATGAGACTTACTACTCTCATTTCTCTCCTGACCTCTCTTTTCTTAGAAATTCACCTGGTACAGAGTTAGTTTTAGTGGGAGGAAAGTTTGAATTTTTTTAAACCAAAAGTCACAATACATTAGCCATTTTATTTGTTTCATTTCATGCATACAATTAAAAATACATATTGAATTAGTGTTTAAAAAGCAACACTATTACTATTTTGGTATATATACTGTTCTAACTATTTTTAAATTAATGCATTGTTTTGATTCATAAAATGTGGACTAATGCACTGCTATTTAAATCACTATTAGTGACTTAAAAAAGTGATTCACTTAACAATATGTTTAAATATTTTACTTGTATTTAGTGTTTTTACACATCATTTTCAATAAATGTACCATATTTCATAAAATGATCGTATCTGAATTTTCCAGTAACTACAGATGAATTTTAACATTAAAATAGTTTATTATTAAAGTAATATAATAATGAGCATTTTTCTCATTCAAAACTTTGCAAATAAATATAATTGTTCCCTAGGATAAACCTCTACAAGTTGTAAATCTGGGTTACATTTTTATAAAAAAAGTATATATATAAACACATACACACACATATATATGTACATACATCTATATATAATGCATATCTACATTGCTTTCTAGAAATAATCTAGAACTTCTTGTCCCTCAGCACTTTATAAGATTTTACATTTCTCGTATGCTTTCTATAATAGACTATATCATTCATTTTACCTTTACTGCTTTAATAAAAAGAAAATACTAACTCATTTTTATTTTAATTTGTGTTTCTCTATTTACTAATGAGAGTAAATATTTTATCATGTTTATTGGTCATTTATAGTTCTGTGAATTGAATATTAAATCCTTAGTTTTCATATTGGAATGCTTATTTTTATTTTATTTTATTTTTAGAGAGATTTTTACTACAGGGCCTGTCTGTGCACTCACTGGAGACACAGAGAGAGAGAGAGAGACAGAAAGTGAGAAATCAACCCCTCAGGGGGGTTGGCCACACTACAATCTTTTCTCCTCCATTCTCTTCCTGGGATTTTGGGCATGCACACACACACGCCCATCATGAGTTTCAAGACACTGGATCTGGGACTCGAACCATGGCTAGTCATGTGGGAGCCTAGCACCTTAACCATTACCCCACCTGCTGGCTCCTGGGATGCTTATTTTTAAAATATTTATTTTGTTTAAGAATTTATCTTACATTTTCATTCCTTTTCACTTTAGGAGAAAAAGCAATGAAAGTTTCAGGGCTACAAAGCTCTATCTGTAAAAAAAAGTAAGACTTGAATTAAATTATCCTTATGGTGTCTTCTAATCTAATATTAAATCTTAGGAAATATAGCACAATATTTTTAGCAGGATTTTAAAAATTTTGATGACTACTCTCAAAGTAAACTACATCTTCTATAAGCTATCCTAATTAGCACATGTATTTCACTTTAGCTTTAATTATTTTTGCTTTCTTCCCTTTATTTCATCAATGAATAAAATAGTTTTCCTGACTTTTTTAAAGCTTTATTAATGGTATGGTGGAATGCTATCACTTTCTGTAGGATTCAACAATAACTGCCTAAGATATTTTGTCAAGAGTAGAAATAATGTCATTTGGGGAAATGTCCTTTGGAAGCACTTTCACTATTATGCTAAAATTTTATAATCAAAAATGCCAAAACACCTGAGGGGGGAAAAATTAGGTTACTCTAATGTTTCAGACTGTAGGCTAAGCAAGAGCCTTACAGTGATTACACGTATGTGTGGGCGTGTGCGTAAGTGCACTATGATTTCAAATGGAAACTTACTGAGTATCTGGTCTAGAGGAAAAGGATAAATAATCAGTTACTTTTTTTTTCATTTGCAATGACAGTATACTTTATTCATGAGTTGTACACTGTCCTGGACCTAGTTTATATCCTTCCATCTTGAGATTTGCTCAGTTCTCCTACCAATCTCTGTCAGAAGTCACTGCTAGGTGCCTTTTGTGTCCCCAGCAATGGCTCACATTATCCCTGGCCTGGAGAGCCTTGACACTGCTGTTACCCGAGACTAAGCCATCATTCCATACAGTGCTTTCAAGGAGTGACCTCTATGTTTGCAAACTCTGCAGAGCACCTGGCTTGCCAGGGAGTTCTCTGGAGGAGCACAGGAGTCAACAACCTGTTGGTGAATTTTGACCAGTGATAGGTAATAGCCATGGATTATTAGACATAGTAGTTCACTTGGCCTCTCAAGAGATGCCCTTGGAGATCTAGCAAGCTCTGTGTTTGTTACAAAGTTGTGTTCGTTATTAAGTTATGGCCATCCAACTCAGTGATGCACTGCTATTATCTGATTTTTTTTTTTCCAAATTCTTGAGCACACAAGAGAGGGAAAATTACCCTCCCCAGGTCTTGGTCCTCCATGGTCCTCAAAATTACCTTTCTCCAGTCCTTGACCCAGCCACGATCCTGGGCATGTGTGGACAAGTCTGACATGTTGTCACGTAAACTGGGCCAGGGACTAAACTGTGGTCAGCATGTGGCTTCCAGCTCTGCAGGCCAATGGAATACTCATGGCCTCACTGAGACTCAGCCATAACTAACGTCCTATGTTCCCTTACTCTTATTTAACTAGTCTTCTATCTCCAAAGATACTACCTTCAAAACCTTGTGTCTGTATGTTTCTAGGAACTTGGACTAACATGTGTTAAGGACTCTATCAGATATATATATATATGAAAATTTATTCATAAAATAAAAAAATAAATTCCCTGCATTAAAATTTGGTTCAGTTTTTATGAAGAAATCTGATCCACTGTGAATTCCAGCAGTATTTCTAGAAAGGTAAATTTACTTTGGTATTATGGTATTACCCCTGTTTTTACCCCGGGAGATTAGTGGAAGAGAATCAAAGTGGCTTTAACTTGGAACCATTTTATGGAAGATTTTAAAAGTTATTAGTTAGGAAGATAAATTATTAAATAATAGGAGCTTCTGTTGAATCAGCAATGCTGAGAAAGTAATATGGATAAAAGTTCTATGATACATTTATTAAGATGATGATCCAGAAGCAAAACATGTGCTGAAAGCATTATAGAGAATATAAAGTTAAAAATATAAAGGTTATTCTTGTTCAGGCCAATAAATGTCACCTGCCAGGGGGGAAAAAAAATCAATGTTCCTTTAAAGTGAGAGTATATTTTATTCCTAAAGCATTAAATTCATCAAAACCTTGTAAGACTACATCATGACTACATCACTGACCTGTGAACAGGTACCAGAGGTTGTTCGGCTCCAATGTTTCCATCTCACCCCTGCGGGTCGTCTTTCGGTGTCGAATTTTATAGCCAGTAATAAATCCATTTTGTGTTCCTGGTGGAGGAGGCAACCAGCTTACTTTGATACTCTGTAAAATAATAGATGTAAATTAAAACATTGGAGAAAGAAAGGACAACAGGACAGGGTCAAAGAAGTGATCCAAACAAAAGGGTGAATAAAGCAGAGAGGTAAGAAATGTTAGAGATAGACTCTCAGCACCACATTAAATCCACCCTTACAATCTCCCAACATTCTTATTTGTCTGATTTTAACAGAAATACTCATTTCATGTGATTGACTACATGCCTTATCACCTCTCCTGTGCAAGCCCCATTAAAATGATGGTAAAATATTTTAATGGTGTAAATCCATAAAGAGATGGAAAACAGAATTACATTCAATGAGAACGGTCAACAAATATTTGGAAGGTGCAGATTAGAGGGAGATGTGATAACTGAGCCCAAAATAAAGAAATGCCAAAATATGTTGTTAATACAAGGCAATTTACATAACAACATTAAGGGAACCCTGGAAATTGTTCCTTCCTAAAGAACTTGGAGGATAGGACTGAGACATGGTGCTCAGATATGAAATAAAGCATGGATTGGAAGTCACAATGACTGGTTAGGCCTTCCTAACTAGTCCCTAACTGCACCCATTGAAACCACTCTGTCAACCCTTCTTGGCTTTGGAGCTGGTGGGCGACCCATTCTCTGGATACTGAACACAGAGGCCACAGATTAATCAAGCACAAAGTTTGGAAACAAGTATGTGGGCAAGGTTTATGAAGTTAATGACAGGAAACACCCATGTCATCCTCATTCCTGTCATCCAGAGAGCAATAGAAACCAGGTATAAACTTCCTACATAGAATATCAGATGATCCTTCTCTACAGAAAATTAGACTTTGCTCAAGAGAACACAGCAGCTGAATCCCTGATCAAATTCCCAATAGTGAGATCAGCACATAATAAGCTCCACTCATGCTCTAGCATTGGTACTTTGCAACCAGTTTTTTATATTTTATTGTAAGGTAAAGTAACAATTTAGGACTAGAGATTTAAAAAAAAAAAAAAACATTATAAAAAATGGCACCTAGAGGAAACTGTAATACTATACATGGTACCTGATGGAAACAACAATAACATACAGAAAGAGTCAAAAAGATACCATTAATACCCTGATTATCCAACAGCAAATATTGCATCTATGAGCTGTATACAACACAGGAATGTTAAAAGATTTTAAAAAGCTTATAAAAAATGTGATTTGATTCTATAATTTAAATGAAAAGAAAATCTGCCCAAATTAATGGTAAAAAGATGAAAATTAATAGAGAAAAGTTAAGAAATTACAGGTTTAGTCTACAGTTTTTAATATATGACTCTTAAAATAATAAAATGGAGAGGAAATATTATCTTTTAAATTCCCTTTCTCTCAGTAAAAACCCTTCAGAATGGGAAGGCTTGAAACTTGTCTGAAAAGGACTATAGAATTCTTTATCTAATAATTTTTGTAAAAATTACATCAAGGTATATAACTAAAATAGTAGAACTCCCTAAGAAAATGCTAGGGGGAATCCAAAAGTTTTCAGAATGGGTAGGAAAAAAAAAAAAAAAGCAGGTCACATAAAATATCAAGAGTAAGAATGGCATTGTACTTTCCAACAATAATATTTGAAGTTAGAAAACTGTGGAATATTTATAAGATTAAAATCAAGGATTTTAAACCTAGACTTTTGACTAGCCAAATAAACATAACACTGAAGAATAAAGGTAATGTAATACCAGTGTAACAATATATAAGTGCTTACATAAGAACAATATATGGATATTTCAGCTATCTATGGTTTCAAAGACATATATCTTTGGGAACCAGCAGTTAGCGTAATGGCTATGTCGCTGGGCTCCCACGTAGTCGACCGCGGTTCGTGTCCCGGACCCGGTGGCTTAAAACTCACGCCGGGCACGTATGTGTGCGTGCCCAAGATCCCGAGAGGAGAATGGAGGAGAAGGGAGTGCGGCGTGACCATCCCCCCTGGGGGGTGATTTCTCGCTTTCTATCTCTATGTCTCTCTCTGTCTGTCTGGCGAGCGCACGCGCCCTACAGTGAAAATCTCTCCAAAAAAAAAAAAAAAAAAGACATATATCTTTGAAACCTTTATCAGGAGGCTAATAAATGATGAGCTCCAGGAAAATAAAGGTGCAAAATGAAAAGAAAGTCCATTTGAAATCCAAGAACAGATAATCCAAAACAGACAGAGAAATATGAAGTTCTTAGGAAGATACAAAGGCGATTGTAATGTGATAATAAGATTTGCTATCGTGAGATAGCAAATTTAAAATAGTATATACTGCATAATTCCATTTATATGAAGTTAAAAAAAGGGCAAAACTAATCTATAGTAATAGAATTGCCCATAGTAGCTACACTGGGAGACTGGAAATGGTGTACAAGGAGGTATTTTAGAGGGATAAAACCTACATATTAAAATTTCATGTTTGTTACATGAGTGCATGGAATTGTAAAATACATCGTTATGGGTTGAATTGTGTCTCCTCAAGATTTATAGGTCAAAGTCCTAACCCCCAGTTCTTCAGAAAGGGACTGCATTCAGAGATAGGGCCTTTAAAGAGGTAATTAAATCTAAACAGTATCATGTAGGTGGGCCCTAATTCAACATGATTAGTGATGAGAAGATTAGGACACAGATACACACAGAGGAAAACCATGTGAGGATACCAGAAAAAGAAAGTGGTCCTTAAACCAAAGAGGGAGGTCTTAGAACTGCTCTGCCAACATCTTGATCTTGGCATTCTAGGCTCCATTATTGTAAAAAAATTAATTTCTGTTATTTAAGCCACCAGTTCTGTGGTATTTGTTATGGTAGCCCTAGAAGACCAATACACTTATGGTATTAAACATTTGAGATTTGATATTTCACTTCAATCATAGTTTAACCAAATAAGGAGGAGTAGGTTAAGGAGGCGTATGAGGAAATGAAAGATGGGAGAAATGAGGATGGAAGTATGCTGACACTTGACTCTAGCAATAAGAAAAAAAGGGGGGACATAAGACTTCAGTGTTACACTTGGGAGCCATTTTACACAACAAAATCACCAACCAAAGACATAGAGTAGGTGGTGGGAAGATCACTGAATGGTAAGACCCTTTTGGATTCAGTGTTACACTTGGGAGCCATTTTACACAATAAAATCACCAACCAAAGGCATAGAGTGGGTAGTGGGAAGATCACTGAATGGTAAGACCCTGTTGGACCTCTCTCTCTCTTTTCTCTTCCCTCTCTCCTTCCTCTCCCTCCTCCTCTCTCTCTGTGCCTCTGTCACTCTCATAAGAGAAATAATCTTAAGAAACATTACTGAAAGGGTTTGGCATTGCTGAGAAAATTTATTTGGTGACTCTTATCCATTAAATATGAAAAACAAGCACCACCCTATCAATACTTAACAGTTTTTTTTTTTTTCTTAACTATTCTAGCAATGGTCTAAGAATTCCACAGGAGTTACGTACTTTACGCTCAGGATGACTCTATGAGATAAAGCCTACTGTGATACCCATTGTACAATCACGTGACCTGAGAAACAGAATGGTTAATTTAAAGTCATGCAGCCAGTAAGTAACACAGGCAGAATTTTTACTGAGATAACATGAGTGTGAGGCTAGCATTTCACCTTCACAAGACGTTCCACAACCTGATAGTCTAATTCATTCAGTTATTATTCATTCAAAATATATTATCTGCCTCCTTTCTGTGTTGCAAATACTATCCCTGGGACTGAGGAAACACATACCTAACTCATGGTTTACCCATTCTGGCTAAGGAATAGACACATAAACTAATAATAAATAACAGAGAGATCAATTCTCTCTGTGGTTGAAAAGACTTTCCAAGGATGAGTAGGACTTCATGGAAGAAATGGGAAAGGTATTTAAGACAGAGGGAATATCGAAAAGCTCAAGGTGTCATGGCAATGAAGAGCATGTTCAAGTGAAAGTCAGGTAGTCTTTTAGTGGCTAAAGCAAATGGGACATATAGGACCATAAAATGGACAAGTAGATTGGGAAAAAAAAAAAAGGTAAGAGTATTTCAGGCCATTCTTAAAAGGCACACAGTCAAATCAATGTGCTAATTTAAGGCACCTGGCTAGGTTCCTTGGGATACAAACTAATGAACAAAAACATAGTTATATTGTCCCTAGTTCCAAAAGAATAATCTTAAACACACAGTCCTACTCCAACCCTCTCTCCTGAGCTATATACACATATGCATAAGTGTCTTCTTAGCACTCAGTAAAGAAAATCAGAATTTAATGAGTCATACTTTATATATATATTCAACTCTTCACCTACACATTTTGATTTTTTGATGCTTCAAGATAACAGTGGCAGATAGTATCACCATTTTATAACTTTACAAAGAAAGAAATTGAGGCATAGATTTAAATAAATGTCACCTTATACCATTACTGGAAGATTTTTCTAACTGTTGAGTCCAGGGTTCTTTGTATTATTTCACACTAAAGAAAGTAATCACAGGGCCTCTACTTGGCAAGTCTACACACCGAAATTCTTTTATAAGATATTCTTGTAAAGAATATAACTGAATTTAAACTACTACTTTTGAACACATCCAATCAATGCATCTTTTTGTAAGCAGCATTTGGACCTTCAAGGAGGGTCATTTTCTAAGAACTACAGTTTTGTTTTTTTTTTTAAAGAATTATTTTAATTAACTTTATCTATTTACTTATTTTAATTTGACCAGAAATGGACATTGTGAGTGAGAGTGAGAGAGAAAGTGAGAAAGCAAGTCACCAGATCTGGGACTTGAACCATGATCAGAGTCTTTAACCACTGTGCCACCTTAAAAAAAAAAAAAAGATCAAAGTTAAATTTGATGAGAAGATAAAAATACAAATACAGATGTGAACCTTAAAAGAGTTAGAACTTTTTGATTTCCAGTTAATGTTATGGCTTTATTGAGTGGCTGCTCATAAGTCTTAAAAATGACATAGATCTTAATTTGTATATCAAAAAAGAGAGAATAATTGTACTTAGTATGTCTCC